GCGCAGTAAGCCGTGAAATCTGATCTTGAAGGAGTTAACACGTCAGTTAACACACATTGGTTTACGAAACCATGTTTGACTCTTATGTAATATAGGAAAATTGTTGTTGCTCGAGACATCGATGGTAACATGGTGACGGCGGACGATATCGGGGTGACTGGCGCGTTGACGGTGTTAATGCGTGATGCGATACGTCCGAATCTGATGCAGACGCTGGAAGGAACGCCAGTGTTCGTTCACGCAGGACCCTTCGCGAACATCGCACACGGCAACAGCTCGGTGCTCGCTGACCAGATTGCCCTGAAGTTGGTTGGCCCTAAAGGATTCGTGCTAACCGAGGCGGGCTTCGGCGCCGATATCGGCATGGAGAAGTTTTTTGACATCAAGGTAGCGGCTGATGGCACTAGGCGTCTCATCTCTTGTTCGCTATTCTAGTGTCGAGCGTCCGGACTGTCGCCGAGCAGCATCGTTTTAGTGACCACTGTTCGTGCATTAAAAATGCATGGCGGTGGTCCTCCGGTACAGCCGGGTACCCCTCTACCGCAGGCCTACGTTGACGAGAACGTTGGTTTGGTAGAGGCTGGCTGTTGCAACATGGTCAAACAGATACAAAACGCAAAAAAATACGGCCTTCCGGTTGTTGTGGCTATTAACAAGTTCTACACTGACTCTGCTGCTGAACTCGAAGTTGTTCGACGTAATGCGATGGACGCAGGTGCCCTTGATGCAGTTGTGAGTGACCACTGGGCCCAGGGAGGCCGTGGTGCCACAGATCTGGCGAAGGCAGTCATACATGCATGTGAAAGCGCACCAAAATCCTTTAAATTCTTGTATGCGCTCGACATGCCTATTGAGCAGAAGATAAACGTGATCGCTACGGTATGTATATTTCCGTTGTCTCGTTCAGCGGCGATATAAAATGTAGAAAGTCAACCTACTTATAGGAAATCTATGGTGCTTCCGGTGTAGAGCTGTCGGACAAAGCAAAAGAAGCGGTGTCATATTATGCGGACCATGGCTTATCTGACTTTCCAATATGCATGTCGAAGACTCATTTGTCGTTGAGCCATGACCCCTCGTTGAAGGGCGTCCCGACGAACTTCGTTTTGCCCATACGTGATGTGAAGGCCAGCGTCGGCGCCGGTTTCCTTTATCCGCTCGTTGGACAAGTGCAGACGATGCCCGGGCTTCCGACACGGCCATGCTTCTTCGATATCACGTGCAACCCCGTCACCGGGCAAATAGACGGGTTATTCTAAGAGCTGATTTTTGAATTATTTATTTTTGTTTACTTTTGCATAGTAAATTCCCCTTATTCTAATAATAATAAGTTAAAATAAGCCCTATGA